CCTACACTCTGTATTCATAAAAATGGGTTTTGTTCCCCTAATTCTTTTCTCCAGTGTTAATCATCACAGTCTGTTATTAAGTAGTAATAGAACTCTAAAATTTGTGTGCAAATCTATGAAGAAAATTCAGCTGGTGCAATCCTAGCTTTTTATTGGAAGCATTTCTGGAGTTTTCAGATTAAGCAGATGGTGCTCTGAGATATTTCTTGTTTATAAAGCAGTATCTCTGAGCACAGCTGTAATTTTTTTTCTCATTCCACTTTTCTTAAAAACACTGAAAATTAATGGGACAGTTAGAAAAAGAAAACCCTTGAGGTGATTGTTTATATTAACAAGGCAAAATAAATGTTGGGATGTCCTGTACTGCTTTCTAAGAACTGAAAATTCTTCTCCTTTCATAGCATATAAATTCATTACTCTAGTGAATGGGACTTGCAGCAAAAGGAATGCAATGGCCATAACAGAAGAAATTTGCTTGTTTCAATAAACGTTAGGGAGTGGGTCTATGTGTGAAGTAGAAAGAGGAAAAGGACCTTACTTGGTTTATCTTGGGGAACTTTAGGAAGGAGCTTATGAAAATATAGTTTTTATATTGCAAGAAAGACCAGCTATATTATCTGCATTGCAACTTACTAGGGAAGTTTAGAATAGCTGTGTGTGGCAGAGACAACTTGTCCAAGTGTTTGTTTGTTTGTTTTTTTAAACTGTGGGTTTGAACCACTTAATTTCTTCAACAGTGGTCTATAAATATTCTCTCACATGACTTACCGAGAGTCTTTGATGTGCTTATGAATGTATTCTGCATGAGCTTGGGGAACCAAAGGATCTTTCTCACCATGAATTATAAATGTGGGACATTTAATATCAGTCAGTAACTGCTGGCAGATATTACCTAGGGAGAAAATAAATGAAGGTCACAATTTTACAATAGCATGGAAAGACTGAAACTGCTTCTGAAAATGCTTGTGAACTCCACTGGGTTCTAGCTACTGCCTCTCCTTGAGGCTTGCATGCAACTGATCTACAGAACTATGTAATCAGGACTTTAACTGACAGTTCTTTCTCCAAAATGTTACTTTACTGAAATTTGCTTCATTAATGGATACTAGCACAAATGGAGCAAATGAAGTACTTTAGTCCCACATTTTTGCCAGCTTCCCTTAGTTCACAGGAAACACATGCATCTCTTCCATGGCTTTGGTCTCTTTAGCCTTCCAGTCTTGTGTCCTTCATGTTTATGCTACATTTTGTTACATAGGTTGTCAGGCTACAAGATTTGCTACTTTTAGCAACAAGTGTATTTAGGTTGTACTCATGCTTCTTCCAGCTTCCCAACCCTCTGCTGTCTGCAATGAATAATTAACAAATAATTTAACACAAATTGTACTAGAAATATTCAAAGGTTATTCTCCCTGCTCATTCATTTCACAGAACCTCAAGAATAATTTTATGATCACTCGTCTTTATTTTCAGTAGAAGTAATGTTAATGCTTTTCTGTAAAGACTTCTATTCCCCACCCCCTTTCTTTTTACCTCGTCCCTTAGCAACCAAGTTTCCAGACTCTGCCTAACTTTCCATACTCTTGCAAGAGTTTCTGTGTGCAAAACACACTTGGTGAGTTTTATGTTCCATGTATCTTTGAGCTAACTTTGTCCTCTTTGTAGTTGTATCCTTGCAGCTGCCAACAGCTGTACAGCTAATGCTCATACCTTCACTCTAAAGTACAGTTTCACAATTTTTCCAATTGCTTGGTTGTTTATATAGTCTTGGTTTGCAGATCTACCAGTTAAGTATTTTGATCTAGAGCATTTCACCCATGGTCCCCAAACACCTGCACAAATATTAACTGTTCTTCAGAACAAGTATCCAGTAAACTTATTTACTGATGGACATAGTTGGCAGTCAATTACTATTTCCTAGTTTCTGTCTTGCACTATAACCACTGGATTATATTTACTCCAACATTGTAGAACAGAGAGAAGAATCTTGAATTCTGAAGCAATTCCACAGTTTATTCAGTTTCACTATATGTTGGCATCTCCTAAAAATTAATTTCTTACAAATTTTCACTCTATTTGCCCTAAGTGGGACAGCTTTTAATCTTGTATCTTAAAAAGAACTTGAGTTGTTTTTGACCAGTCGAGGTTTTGCTGTCCTCCTTTCATCTCTGATGGCTTTTATTAACCCCTTTTCTTGTATTTGCCATTTTTAAACTTCTGTGCAGTGTGTTTAATTCAAAGGAGGCCTGCTTGTGTTCAAAGTTGCCCTCCCTGAGCTACTCCTGGAAAAAAAACCTGTAGTCCACAGGCTGCTCTTTTTTTTTTTTTTTTTTTTGCAAATTTTTGGTTTTCTTTAATTTTTTGCCCAAAT